GGGGGGGGTCTCGTTGATGAGAACCAAGGGTTGTTGTTCCAGAGTGACACCAAGAACGACACGTGGATCTTTGTGCTGACCGTGCTGCTCTCCAGCACCATGATCTACAACAGCAAAGGCACCATTGACCAGAACGCCATGGACCAGCTGCAGTATCCTTGGTGGGACAGGAGCACCAGGGATGCCCTCCTCTCCCTGTGTGGTGGGCTAGGGCTTGGCAAATGCCAGTTCCTCAGAGGGCTGCAGAACCTTCTGCTGGTGCCCAGGGATGTGCTTGCAGACCGTAGGAGCCCCACGCTGTGGGCCTGAGGGCCGAGGGTTTTTCTCCCTCCTCCTTCTGGTGGGTCCAGGCTGTTTGGCGTCCCCGCCGAGTCTCCTCTCCTCCCCGTGACGTGCTGAGGATTGCAGGATGGCGATGCCCCTGCATCCAGAGCTGGGGTCCCTGTTTCCTTAGCCAGCTCCCCAGCTACGTGACAAAGCTGACTGAGCGCATCAAGTTGAAAGCAGCATCCAAGAAGAGTGAAGATGAGCTGGAGGATTCCGACAAATTTGTCGGCTTCTTCCCGACTTTTGTCTGGGCTGTCCGGGATTTCACACTGGAGCTGCAGGTGGATGGGGAGGAAATCTCTGAGGATGGATACTTGGAGGACATTCTGAAGCTCAAGGCTGGTAAGGGCGTGGTGCTGTGCTGCTGGAGACATCCAGCCCCAGACTCAGCAGCCACATTTCAGGATAATTCAACAGCATCCCAAGCCTGTGAACTTGCTCCGTGTCCTCCTACCCCCAGGCAGCAGCCCCGAGACCCAGCTCTACAACCAGCCCCGGGAGTGCATCCGCCAGTTCTTTCCGGAACGCAAGTGCTTTGTTTTTGACCAACCAGCTGGGAGGAGGAAACTGCCCCTCTTGGAGGATCTTCCGGATGATGAGCTGGATCCTGATTTCCAGCAGCAGGTAGAGAAGTTCTGCAGCTACATCTGGGAGAAGTCTCCACCTAAGACCGTCCCAGGTGGCCACATCGTAACTGGGAACCGTGAGTACTGCTGCCCAAGGGGTGGATGGCCAGCAGCTCTGGGGACTGTGTCTGGGGGAGGATCAAGTGCCAAGGGTGCGGGTGGGGAAAGGGAGAGATGTTTTGCTGGCTGCTGTCCCTGCCCCGGGGTTTGGAGCTTTGGGACGCTGCGGGTGGGTGGGAAAGAGGAAAAGCAGTTCAGGAGGCCTGGGGCAGGGAGGCATCGCGGGTACAGCAGGAGCCAGGGCCAGGCGGGTGCCTGCCTTTTTCGGGGCTGCAGATCTCTCGTCCTTGGTCCTCCTTGGCAGTGCTGGGGAAACTGGCAGAGACCTACCTGGAGGTCATCCGGAGCGGGGCAGTGCCGTGCCTGGAGAGCGCGGTGCTTGTCCTGGCCAAGGCTGAGAACGCGGCGGCTGTGGAGGAGGCTGTGAGGTTGTACCAGGAGCTGATGCAGCAGCGGGTGAAGCTGCCAACGGAGACTCTTCAGGAGCTGCTGGAGCTGCACGCCCAGTGTGAGCGGGAGGCCCTGGAGCTGTTCATGGCACGGGCATTCAAGGAGAACATCGAGCATGCCCAGATCGAGCTCGCGGTAGGTGGTGCCCAGCCCAGCCAGAATTCCCCCAGGGA